CAAGAAAAATCTCACCTGCGTCGCCAAATTTGTTACGTTTGCCCGTAACAATAGAGAATACCACTCAAATAACGGTACCACACACTCCTAAGATGCGTCAACGCTAAGTGTCAGAATGCAGAAAAACCACATGAACTGCTCTCCAATGATTGACACGCCTGCAAATATTCCTCATGAATATGCATTTGCGAGCGCATTTTCACTCAGCACCTCAGAGCTCTCACCTATTCCTTGTCAGGCTAATGGCATTAGCGGCTACAGTTGGCTTAATCACATCGTCTCACATTTACTCACAGAAGTACCTCATCCAAGGTTGGATTCACCAAATTAATGCAACAGCCTCCATTGACTGTCTAGCTGCAGAATGCATAGCGTGGAAATTCGGTCACCCACACATGAAAAGCAAAACCAACCTGAGTACCTGATCCGACATACATCGTGCGGCATAATTTGAGAGCCCTGATGTAATCAGTTGTCGGATACAGACTTTCGCATATGGCCTTCTTGTATGCTTTTGGTTTACATTTGCACGGCGGCACATGGACAAGCCAATGTCAGCTTTCCTACTTTTTCATGGAAGTTTGATTTAGTCTGCTGAAATCAACGAATGTGTTTGCATCGAAAACGAGCTAATGTGAATAAAACGCCTCCCACGATTGGCGTGTCCACTTATTTTCGGTAAAAGAAACGCCACTTCTGGCATGTCCCTAATAGTCCATACCTCATTTATCTTCAAAATGCAACCTCGACAATACTACATTTCTGCAATATCGGGCTTATACACACGTACCCACACACACACACGTACACACACACATCTCCTTGAGCATTTGCTTTTGTGCCAGCACCGGATTTGCAACCCGAGTACAAGACAAAGACAAGACAACTGTCTGAGAACTTTTACTATCTCAGCCGAAGGCCGTGTGATCTGTCGTGATGTGACCACGTATACAAGCCAAGCATGACCTTGTAGTGGACAGACAGCCACCCCGCGTGAGTGATGCGTGTACCATGGTCCGAGTGTACCAATGACACACCTTCTGTTATTGGCCTCTGTTAGCTGTCGCCTGTTGGGCACGCGTACTCACGCGAGCACGGAGACACTTGGCTGTTGTGACACTACGAACAGGTCGTGTCTTACGGTCTGTTAACTCGAGAGTTGTGAGGTAGTGCTAAAACCAAAGCTACTGCAACATTGTCCTGTTAGATTAAGGTGGATCAGCACATACTGAGCTATTAGTTGGGGTGCCGTGGATGACTGAATGGACTGAGTTAATTAATGCGCAAACACACATTGGTGATAACAGCGTAATCTCGTGGACTGCAACAGAGCCGGTTTCGGAAGAGCAGAATTTCGATTGGCACAAATATGTAGTCAGCGTCAATATTCCATGATTAACCATATGGAGAGCGTATTGACAATATTGGCGTATTTCTTGAAGTAATTGGAAGTGTGGCTAAGGAAGTGTAATTGGTGGATTCCTTATGGCACGGTTGTGTTACACATTCTCAACAAAACTATTGGTCTGATTCGAGCACTGCGAAACAGTAACGACAACTGCGCACATTTCCTTAATAAAGTGCATAAATACGTCTGCATATCTGGAGGTGTATGTGGGTGTAGTTGCAAGCGTGCAACTTCATATTGCCAAGGTTGTAGCAAAGAGTGGGTTCTAACAACCCGAACTGGTTATGTGGAGGTTGGTGTTGTCAAAAGGATGCTTTTCAGATTCTGTACAAGTGATTGTCTTCTATGCCGGAATATTTATCTTGCATTTATTCTTGTTTGTGTCATTTATTTATTCCACACATTTCTAAAAAGCCATTACTACGTAAGCGAACACGTGCATTGGAAATCTGGTTTGGCCAGTATCTGCAAATGGAATGATTCTGTCAACAACACCAACCACAGTCAGTACATCATTCACCTATGCTACAATGGTGTTCTCCCTCACGATCCTCAAACCAAGCCACCGACAATCAACGAGATGAGGATCCGATCCAACGGAAGCAACATTTCACGGACTTTCGAGGAACTCGCTGAAATACCCGATGCCGAGTGGTTAGGGCAATTTGACGCATCTGTGTACGACCTGTATCCACAGACCATCTCCGCAAGGGATTCGATTCGACGAATTCTCATAGGATTGCCACTACTCGAGGTAAGTCTCTTCGCTGTTACATTATGACGTCATATTTGATGAAATTCAGAATGAGTTGAGATTAATTTTCACGCCCCAGTAAATTTCATGTTGTAGTGAGAAAGCCATGATATACTAGCACCAGTCTTAGCTGGCAGTGAGTTCTATTGTGATCCAATTTCTCCAAATATGTCATCACGACTTGAGGGGCAAATGTATCCATTCCAACAGCAGCGGGATTTTTCTTGTCGTGGCCCTAAATTAATACTAGCTTTCACACCGAAGTAAATGGCTTATAGTGGCTGTTGAAACTCGATGGGACACAGAGTAGCCAGGGCAGAATAAGAAGGCTGAATTCTAAGGTGTTTTGTGAGTCGCAATGACAGTCGTCGAGGTTTGAGGGAGTCACTACCTTTGGTGAGGGTGTGTGGGTCGTCTCCACTGAAGGGACATTTCAGCGCCTAAGTAGATGCTGTGTGAGGAAACGAATCACGTTTTACGTCAGTCACTCTTGCCGTTCTTGTGTTGCTGCTCCTGGTGCGCTTTTGTGATCCACACCAGGGCCAGTAATCTACCGTGTCACGACCCGTCCCAAAGTAGTGTATAAATGCAAATAGCGCGTTGTTCAACTAATTTATGATGGCAGTAATTGCGTGGTGTACAAGGTAAAAAGACAGTTAATAGAGCGTTGCCATACACCGATACCTGAACGAACATGCTTACGTGAAGTGCATTGAAGTAAATCGGCTGAATCGTGTTCTCTCACGCTTGACAACTGCGTTCGCTCACGACTGCTGTGTTCGCTTGCTGCTCGCCACACTTGTTTCTGTCTCCACTTATGGTCAGAGCGCTAGGTCCAAATTGTAGACCTCGTAGATTAGCTAAACCCGAGTCTCTGTTTAGTCATGGTATCTTACAGGTTCTTCGTGGGCGTGGAAGCTATCAAATCTTCGTTATTTGTGTGAATATTCGGCTCTATGTAAAGCAGAACACCAAGCATGCTTTCGTCAGGCAGTACTTATGCGCATTGTTCATGGATGTAGTTATGTCTATGTAGTCACATGAAGGTGTACTAACTGACCTAACAAAATGTGGCACGACTCGAATTCAGCGTTGGGCAAAATAATGACTTTCTGCGTAATCATGCTACAACAAGTACTATCGAAATTTGTAACGTCTACATTGGCGGTTGGTTGTGAACGGTTGGTACGAACGCCTAAATTTGTGCGTGAAGACGCCAGAGCGAGTGTGCGTGTGCACAGCGTCCAGGTCACTCACTGGAGCCATGGAGTTTAAAAAATAAAAATTTGATGTACAAGAGGTAAGTAAATCCCATGCTGACTTTGGTGGCTTCCCTGAAATTTATCCCAATTCCTAGGCATGCCTACCTGGACAAAGTTGAATATCAAGGCAGGGTAACTGAAAATATCTAAGTAAAGGATTCGTCCTGCATCGTGCAGCATAGCGTTACGGCCCTGATTTGGCATTTACCGAGCAGAGGTTGTTTTATATGGTATTCTTGCGTGCTTATGATTGAAGTATGGGCTGTGGAACATGGGGAAGCTAATATCAATTTCCAAATGTTTTAATGGTAGTTTGATGTAGTAGGCTGCAAGCCGAGGTTATGAGAGGATCAAATCCCATTGCACTGTGTTTGCATCGAAAGTGAGACGATGAGTCTGCAATGTCCACTGCGATTGACATGTTCACAATATTTCTAGAATTCATTACCATGTACCTGCAATGTCAAAACATAATCTCGATGCATCCAAAATCATACACCATCAGGCACGAACACACACACACCTATATAATTCTCTGAGTATTCGCTCGCATTTCAGCACCCAATCTACAACCCCACTCTCCACTATCTCCAAGTTCCCTCAAAGACATGTCCTCCTCAATCATTACAACAGCCTCCGGGCAGCCTGTCCAACAATGCCTCTCACGATGTCGTGATCATTTACAAATCAGCAGTCTATAACTTCCAGGCACGACAACAACTTCGGCAGCTCTTCAACTTCAGTGGCAGTGGTCTCGACGTACACGTGGTTTTCTCAATTGGACTACCCAAATCCTCAGGAGGCAACGTGTTTCAGCGTGATGGATTCAATGTGACCCTTGGTGGCCGATCAGGTAAGTTGTACAATGACACCCAAGAATACCGGATTATGACAAGGCGTTCTCTGGATGACGAGATGAGGACTTTTGGCGACTTAATTGTTGGCAATTACGAGGACACCTACTTCAACTTGACGCTGAAGATGTTCTACACATTTCAGTGGGCCGCCAGATTCTGTCG